TAAGTGTATTTAAAAAAATCAATCCCAGAGAGGAACATTTACTTTTTGAAATCAAATAGCTCCTGGGCCCAGCACTGTGAGGGCAGCAGGGGACGGGCATCCTGAAGCTCTGGAGTCTGGAAGATTGAAGATTGCTCACATTAAGAAAAATAGCCACATCCAAGCCTTACATCCTCATGTGCAATGCCATTTGGATAGTGAGCCACTGAGCAGAGATTTGAAGCTCCATATTTTGTGATTTCTACTAACATAAACACGTAGAAAATTTGAAAAACCTGGGTTTCCAAATTGTTAGAAACCTAATCTCTTTCTCCTGTGGCTGATAAAAAGCTAAATGAGAAATAGTTTCTGTATTAAAAACATCACTAAGTTTCCAAATTTTAAGATATTTTTCTTAATATTTCTAATAAGTAACATTTGCAGGTTTTATACAATTAAAAGTAGATCTTGAGTAACTTTCTTCAATTTCTTTTTCTAATGGGTGAGTGTTCTTGATGGAAACAAACGGTATCAACTCTCTCAGTCTGCTGGGACAGCCATAACAGAATACCATGAACTAGGTGGCTTAAACAACAGACATGCCATTTAATATCTCACAGTTCTGGAGGCCGGAAGTCCGAAATCAGGGTGCCAGCACGACTGGGTTCTGGGGAGGGCTTTCTTCCTGGCGAGCAGATGACCACCTTCTCACTGTACACTCACATGACAGAGAGAGAGCAAGCTCTCTGGTGTCTCTTCTTATAAGGGCACTAATCACGAGGGCCCCACCCTCAAGACTTCATCTAAAACTACATAAAACTAAAAGACTCAAAACTTTTATGTCTCAAAAGCTGCACCTGACAAATACCAACACATTGAGGGTGAGGCCTTGAACATGTGGATTTTGGGTGAACACAGTTTAGTCCATAGCACCAACACTGGCTAAGAGAATAGCTGTGCTGGGAAAATAAAGACTAGTGTCTCACAGAGTCAACAGGAAGGCTGGAGAACCAGGGTCAGAAGGTAGACGGGGGAGAGGCCAGGAAGCAGGAGCTGACCCCAAGAGCATGCCCAGAGTGGGCCCCAGGAGGAGGAGGAGGAGGACCCTGCTGGTGTTCCTATACCTCAGCCATAGACAACTGGCATCAGTGCCATGGACTGGGGCACCATACTGCCCTTGTAAATAACCCCTCAACTGCCCCTGCCTCCCTGCCCCTGCCTCTCTCGACACTAGAATCACCCTACTGGTATCTACCCGAGGACAACCACTGCCAACACTCCAGAGTACCTCTCCTGCATGTGCAGACTGGAAATGTCATTCAGTCCACAAATACTTGTTGAGCACCTGCAGTGTGACAGCATCGACTTGTACTCAGGATCCAATAATGAATTCCTACAGAGAACATACATATGTTATTTTACAAAACAGTGGGATTGTAGAGAATGAACTGCTAGAGCCGGTCTGTAAATTGTTATTCCCTGTTCTCAGGTAGATAAGTGCGGAAGTTGGGAGTAGACACTTAGAAAGGTTTAAACCAATCTGACACCACCACGACACCCTGGTGTGTGGCCAGTGGCTGCATCTCCATGAGCAGGAGTAGAGCAGTTCCAGCGTTGTGAAATCACCTCTGGGTGCATGTGCTATGAGCTGCACACTGGTCATGCCTGTATTGATCTGCAACAGATTTGAAAATCTGGGTTTTCAATCTGACAGACAGACAGACAGAAGTCTGATCACAGGTGGCTGAGAAGCACCGATATCAAATGTGGCCTTTGCAACCTGTTTCTTTTACAGAACATGCTGTGAGCATCGTTCCTTTTCAAGAAATAATGCTTCCATAACAATTTCAATGAAGGTGTTATTCTTCAGTTTTAAGTTTGATTAGTTGAGAGGTTTAAATCAAGTTTTAATTGATGCCTGCAACTTTCCTGAGATGGCCTTCTCCCATTTGGATATTGCACTTGCATGACTTATGCACAATGGCATTGAGATTCAGAAACGGTGGATCTCTCTGGAATGCTTTTCCCAGGGGAACCATTACCAAACTGCAGAAGGTACCTCACTAAAAGAAAATTTCATCCATAATGAGGTCCAACAGTGGAAACTTCTAGGCAATATTTTCATAGAGCTTTAGTTAGCAGCACAGTGGCCTCTTTACTGAGCTCTTCACAAATCCCAAAGTAATGAATTTCACTACAGCACAAGCAAGCTGTTTTGTCTTACACAAAAAAGACAAATTTGGTTTTTCACTTTACCTCCTCGATGACTGGAAAAACCCCGAGCAAAGTGTGTTGGGATGCTGTTGCGGGGTTTGCTAGGCTCCCATCCACCTATCCTGAAGCGCATGTAAGTCAAGTTTTGTGTTTCTCTCAAATTACAAATGATTAGATGTTGAGAACCTCTGGGGCCACTCTAGAATGAACACATCTGTATACAGAAGGAATATTCTAAACGAATTGCATTAACTCTGTGGCGAAAATGCCATTCATTAGATGGGATGCTTTATGATGTGAGTTAAGGGACAGGATGCCTGCTTTAAGAATTGTGGAGATAGAGAATATTGTGGAATCTGGCACTTCCCAGGCTGCACCGACCAATAGAAGGATGAAGGTTCTTCACATTCTGCCTCTGCCCTCTCCTCTCCCTGCAGTGAGCATTCCTGATCAACTGGGGCCTGCTTTCCCCTCAGCTTCCAAGTCATCCTCAACACTGTGCTCTACAGAGCTCTCTGCAGGTGACAGTCGTGGGACCTGAGCCCAAACCTTCTTACCACTCCTGCCCTCAGCCATTTGTGATGAAAGACAGGAACTCTAGAAGTCTCTCAGGCTTACATAAGGTTTTCTACCTTGTCATAATTCGACTCTGGAAGATTTAGTCCTGTTTAGCATTTTTATTGGCTACCACCTTCTCCAAAAGTGACTTTAAGTCTAACACCCTAGACGCTTCAAGTATGGAGAAAGCATTTATTTCAAAAGGATAATACTATCTGTGATATTTTCCCCAGAGACTTTCCTCTAAGAGAGTCCAAGTTGTAGTTAACTGGCAAGTAAAAGATAATTATGAATGTTGGTCAACTTAAATCTAAGTTAGATTCTAATTATAGGTCATAGAATAATGGATGTGCTCTGTAGTTTTTAGTACATTCACATGCTAAGGTAAAAAATAGCCACTCCATGCCAAAAAAGGAAAGAATAAGAGTCTTTCAAACAATTTTACCAACTTGCTAAAACAGAAAATATGATTTCTCATTTTTTTCCTTAGGCCTGAGCACATACACCACTTCACCTGCCAAATTTTCCTCCAACAGATCTTAGAAAAAAAGTTTTGTTTCACCATTTATTATAATATTCCCAAACAAATTAATCTTCTTTGTGCTTTACTCTTCCCAAACAGTAAAAATATCATTAAAATGACATATTTCGGTAACTCAATATGTGGTGAATATACTGGTATATCCTGGTATAACCATTCCTGGTATATCTGTTATACCTGGTATATTCATTTCTAAATGCAATAAAAATAACAACCATAAAATTTCAGATGAATAAACCAGAACCATTACTTTTTCAAAAAGAGTCAATGTCAGCGTGTTTTACAAAAGCTAAAGTTAGGGGAGAATTGATTCCTATGATCCGTGTTTAACCGACATCTATTCATCACTATGTCTGCATCAGGGCTGTGCGCCAGAACTTCCTGTGATGATGGATATGTTCTCCGTCCATGCAGTCCCATGTGTCAGCCACTAGACGCGTGCCTGTTGAGCACTTGGAACATGGCTCACAAGAAAAAGAAGTTTTAATTTGATTTAATTTAAATTAATCTAAATTGAAATGGGCACACATGGGTAATAGGTACCATATTGGACAGTGCAGACATAGAACAGATGTGGACGTTTCGAAGATACAAAGATGGGTGTGATTGGGTTTGTCTCTCAAAATGCCTACAGAGCAGCGCGTGCGGGGTGGTCCGCACAGCCAAAGGCTGCAGCCCAGAAGTGGATTCTAACCAGGGCCGGGGAAAGTGTCCTGACTCGGACACTGCGGCCTGGGCAGGGAGCAGCAGCCTGGAGGCGGTATCCTACTCCGCTCTGCACATCTTTGGGGGTAATAAAGAAGTAAAAAAACAAGGATTCGAACCAACCACAAACAACCTTTCCCTGCGATTCAGGCTGAGAGTAGGGTTGAAAGGTCCTGGCGAAGGAAACCTGTATCTGATCTGGCCTTGAGGTGGTCTCTTCTCACCTTGAACTTCCAGGACTCTGAGCAGGTCGCTCAACCCATGTGGGTGACCCAGCTGCCCTTTTGAAAAAGTTGGACAATCTTGGAGATGTCGCCAAAAATCTAATCCCGCCTGCTTCTAGCTCTGCGATGGGTCAGGGGCAGATGCCAAGCGGAGTCTCTGAACGGGCTGCCCCGCGGGCACAGCGCGGCCTCTGCGCAGGCAGTGGGCGAGGCTGGAGGGGGCTCTCCGGGTACAGGTACGGGACCGGGGCCGCGCGCGTCCTTAGTCCTCAGTCTGCACTCGGGACCGCGGAGAGACCGAGTTCCAGGAACCCCGGGAATGGCTGGGTGACCCTGAAACTTTCTTCTTTTGGAGCCTGACCCAGGACCGACTGCAGAGCAGGTTGCTGGCAGGGACCAAATGGAGCTTCGCGCCAGGCCCAAGGCTGCGCCCGTCACTCGCAGTCCCGGGCCGGGTCCCTGGCGCGCGGTGGCGCGCAGCCAGTCGCTGCCACCCGGGATTTGCCGCGCGCCCACCCCGACCCCGTGCGCCGGGTCCGCGGAGGCTTCTCGCGGGACCTCCCTGGGGCTGCGGAGGGCACCCACGGGGCGAGGCGGGGGTGGCGGGGGGCAGGAGGCGCGGCGGACGCGGGCACGGCGCCAGGGCGAGTGGGGCGGGTGGCGCGGGGGAGGCGGCGGGCTAAAGGGAGGCGGCCGGCGGGGCCCGCGGGTCACTCAGAGGCCGGGGCGGCGGGCGGCAGGACCCGCTCGCGGAGGCGCGCGACAGCGGCGGGCGGCGGGGCGCGGAGCCGAGGGGCCGAGCGGCGGCCGCGCGCACCATGCCCTCCTTCGACGAGGCGCTGCAGAGAGCCGGCGAGTTCGGGCGCTTCCAGCGGCGCGTGTTCCTGCTGCTGTGCCTGACGGGCGTCACCTTCGCCTTCCTCTTCGTCAGCGTGGTGTTCCTGGGCACCCAGCCCGACCACTACTGGTGCCGCGGGCCGAGCGCCGCGGCGTTGGCCGAGCGCTGCGGCTGGAGCCCGGAGGAGGAGTGGAACCGCACGGCGCCCGCCCGCCGCGGCCCCGCGGCCCCTGTGCGCCCCGGCGACGGCCGCTGCCAGCGCTACCTCCTGGAGGCGGTCAACGCCAGCGCCGCCGCCGCGGGCGCGCTCAGCTGCTCCGACCCGCTCGCCGCCTTCCCGAACCGCTCGGCGCCCCTCGTGCCGTGCCGCGGCGGCTGGCGCTACGCCCAGGCCCACGCCACCATCGTCAGCGAGGTAAGGGCGCGCCCGCTCCGCTCCCCGCCGGCACGCCGCCCCTCGCGCGGGGCTGCAGCGCTCGCTCGGGCATCTCTCCAGGACGCGCCTGTCCCGCGTTCCACAGCTGGCGGGAGAGGACGGTGCTGGCTCTCTGGCGACACGTAGAGTGCGAGAAGTTGGCCACCAGGGCAGGTCAGCGGAGATGGCGACTGACCGGCTTCATCCCACACCTGGAAGCCAGGCGTCCTAAATGCCAGAAAAGACCTTTCCTTACTTTCCCGTGCCAGTGAGCTAACGGAGAGATGCTTTGCTTTCAGGTGTGAACAAAAAAAGATCATAGGAGCCAGGTTATATAGATGCTTCTCACACACCTTCTCGGGAGTCAAAGCACCTAACGCGACGTTATCTTGCGATGTGTTGTCGCAGTAGTCGGAAATTATGGGTGGACTCATAGTAGGGAACTTCAGTCTCTTGGGCAAGCGACGTTGGCGGGTCCGGATTGGCTTGTGGTCTCCAGGGGTCAAAGGAAAGGAGATGTCAACGTTTGAAGGTGGCAGCAACTTATTCCAGTTGCCCAAATGCTTATCTGAAATGCAAGGGGACAAAGGTCGAGGCTCTCCCAGGGAATAGTTTTGGTAAAACTGCTTTGGGGCAAAGAGCAACATCCGAAAGAAGTGAGGAAAGCTGAGGGGTTGGATAAGAGGGATCACTTTGTAATAATCGACTCAGAAACTGCCTCAGTAGAGCAAGGGTTGCAGGCATGAGCAGTTTTACTGTGCTTTGTCTACAATCATAGCTCAACTTAATTTTCAAAAAATGATTGAATATGCTCTGGTAAATTGAAGACAAAGTTTTGTCTTTGCTTTATTCTTTTGTCATTAACATTTTAAAGCACCTACTTGAATAATGGAGAAATCCCTGGAGGGAGGTGGGAGTGAGTGCCCTTTCTGTGGCTGTTAAACATGTTCTTTGGTCTGGTGACCTCCTCTTGCACTTGGGATTGTAGATGGTTGCAGTTGTACATGCTCCATAATGCCGTGTAGGGGTGTGTTAGCACACGGTGTGTGGCTCTATACTGAGTGCTCTAAGCATAGAATCCCATGGCAGCGCTGCCAGGCAGTGTGTACCTACCTGTGTTTTGGGTCCTTTAATTCGACTTAATCTGTGGGTAAAGCTGGGGACTGCTTTATAAACTATGGTGGTCTTATTGATAGAGATCTCACAGTTGAACAGGACAGGACATGGCATGTGGTTGGGTGTGAGAAGACGCTATCACTGGTACTTCCCTAGAGTCGCATCTGTTAGGTGGCTGCTCCTATTCCATTTAGCAGGGCTGCTTAGTGTTTACTTCCCCAAAGAACAAGAAGACCCACCTGGAGAGTAGACACCTGATTTCTGAAGGCACTTTAAATGAAGAATAAAACCAGTTTTAAAAAGCGAAATGCATACACATTTGAGGGAGGTTTGCCTGCTTGAATATGATTCGTGGATATCAACAAAGAGAGACATAAAACTATGTAAGTTAATGCCCTGACAGATACTTTAAAAACTTTCTGGGTTACCAGGGTTACTACCATTCTGGAGCTTTACGAAGGTCAGGGGCTTCTAAAACACAGTGTGGAATGAGGAAAGGTCAGGAGATGGTGCCTGACTCAGTTTCCAGCTAGCTATATGGCCTGAGTGAGTCACTTACCCTCTCTGGGCTTAGCTTTCTCATCTGTAAAATTATGCTTTGAATCAGCCTTTTACAGTCCCACAATTGCCATCAGTGTCACCACTGGGGTACTGTTTGGTATGTCCAGTACAATGATCAAAAATTTTCAAGAAAAAGTAAAATGGTATTCAGAATGTGCCCCTTAAAGCCACAGAAAAGTTTTTGAAAAGTACTGGAGAGATTTTTTTTTTAATCCCAAATAGTTTTGTGCTTCTTTTGGTGTGTTTGTTTTTCATTATGTTTTGATTCTTAAGAGGAAACCCCCATTTATTCAGGAAGTTCAGCCATCCAGAACAACTCAGTCTCTCTCAGAGTTCTGCATGGCTAGTATTTTACTGTCTTTGGTTTTGATTATGATTCCATTCGTTTTTGTTCTTTCAAATTCTGTCAGAGTGATGAAAGGAACTGTGGTTCCATCTTCAGCTGGCATCATAGACCCAATGCATTTTTGTAAACTTGAAGTGTCAGATATTAATCATGCAAATGGGTGAATTGGGAGAGTTTATAAAGTGGACAGGCTAACCAGATAGCAGAATGCCTCCATGTGGCTGTTATTCTTAATCCTGCACCATTGTGGGGAAGGTATCATTGTCCTGGCTTTATAGAATAGAGATCTGAGGCCAGAGATACCATAGGACCTGCCAGGGTCCCGCATCTTTTATGTAGGCAGACTGAATTCAAATCCAGGAGTCTGGATTATAAGTTACTCAGTCCCTTTTGCTCCATGCAGTGCTCCAAGTCCTTCAAACAAGTCCATGAAACATGGTACATAGATCTCTCACACTTTATAACCTGCAGAAATCTTGCTGAAACTTTGTGTTTATTTTATTACTGTCATAGTCCTTGGGGCAACATTTTGTTTTGTTTCCTGGTGTCAGGAACTGGCAGTTTGGAGGCTGTGCCTTCATTTGGTGCAAATGGTTTTCTATCCTTTTGATGTGAAAGTTGCAAAATAGTCACTTAAATCTCATCCACCTTCTTTGCATCTTACAGCTCGAAATAGCTCTAAGCAGCTAAGTCAGAGGTCAGTGCCAACTGCAGTGTCGTTTCAAGCCAGCTCTCAACTTGCATCTCCTGCTCAAGGCAAGGCAGTGGATTTCCCACCTACATTGAACTTCCTCATTGTAGACTTTTCTGGGGCCTGATTCTCAGCCTTATCTGGTTGTCAAGTGTTGGGCAGAATAAAACATGATGTAATGCAGAGAAGCAAGTCAGAGCCCCATCTCAAATGTATCAATTCACTGCACAGGGAGTGAGTCTTAAGATTGACGTTAGGATTTTTCAGTGCTTGCTAGTATGCCATGGATGAAAAAAAAAAGGAGCTTCTCCTTAGTCTATCACTGGAAACAGGGCTTTAGATCACTTCTAGAAATAGACTGAATCACACTTATTTTTCATATCCAGATAATTTTTCTTCCAGAATAAAAAAAGGTCAATTTGAAGGATGTAGCTGTTCTAGAGATAGTGGTGGCTGCTTTGTTCTCAGGAGTTGTCCATGTCCTTCATGTGTCCGTGCTGTGTTTCTCGCATGTCTGTGCCAAGACATAGGCCAACCCAGTGGGCTGCCCTGCAGACATCTGTGCCATCGTCACCCTGTCCTCACTCATGATTTGTTAACCATGTAATTGCACTGTTGAGACGGGTGGTTTAGCCAGGCCCAGGTTCTAGTCTGGTTGAGTCTTTGATTTTGTATGGGCACTTTAGAATGATCTTAGTTTTGTATTATTTTTGTTTTCTAACATTATTTGGGCCTTCCCCCTCACCTTTTTTTTTTTCCTGCTGAATTAACCTCACCAGGAGAATGTCTGTTTTATTACAGCTTCAAAGAACCAAGCACTGTATAGCACTGTTTTCTGTTTTATTAATTTCTCTTTATTATTAGCTCTAGTTTTAGGAGATTACTTTTGGTCTACTTTTTCCAGTTTAAGTTGGATGTATAGCTCAAGTATTTATAGCTTTTCTTCTTTTCTAGTATAAATATTTAAAGCTATGAATTTCCTTCTATGAACTTCTTTGCACCTCAGCAAGTTTTGACATGCATATTTTAATTATTTTATTCTCAGTATTTTAAATTTTCATTATTTGTTTCTTTGACTCATGATTTATTTAGGCTTGTTCTTAAATTTCAAATCTATGCTGATGTTTTTACCTTTTAATTGTTGGCTTCTTATGTGACTGTGGTATGGTCAGCAAACACAATGTGGTTTGTATGACACTGATTTTTTTGAATTTTATTGGAACTTGTTTTCTGGCCTTGTAAGAAGTCATCTTTTTTTAGTGTTCCATGCATACTTGAGAAAAATGTATGTTCTTTAGCTATTGGGTGCAGGGTCTTAAAGATGTCTAATATTTGAGGCTTGTCAGTTATACTATTAAATATTCTAAATTTTAATTAAATTTTCATCTGCTTGGTCTATCAATAATTAAAGACACATAAAATCATTTGCCATTGGTAGGTTTGTCAGTTTCTTCCTGTATTTACAGATTTTAAAATTTATATACAATAGGCAATTTTATTGAATACATATGCATATAAATTTAGAATTTAAAAAAATCTTCATAGTGAATCGAACCTTTTATTAGGATACAGTGACTCTAAAGTCTGTGATGCATTTTGTCTTAATATATATTTTGTCTGTTATTAATACAGCTACTCCAACTTTATTCTAGATAATATTTGCCTGCTATATCTTTTATTACCCTTTTGTAACAGTTTAGGTGTGTCTCTTATAAAATGTATATAACTTGACTTAGCTTTTATCTAATGTGCTTAGTTTCCTTTAAACTAGTATGCTTAGTCTCTTTAAATTTATTATCATAATTGATATATTTGGGTCTGTTATGCCCCAGTTTTTTCTCTTTTGTCTTGGTCTTTCTATGCTTTTTTCTCCTTTTTCTTTCCTTTAAAAAGTGATTTTAGTTTTTCATATTCTGCTTTATTCTTTCCTTTTTTTTTGTTTAGAATTTAGATCCTTTATTTTAATTCTTTTAATGGTTACCCTTGAAATTTTACTAAGTTTACTCAACAGAGGCTAAATTTAATACTGTGACTTCCTCCTAAACAATTGAGGAATCTTAACCAATTTAACTAAGTCATTCTTTCTCCTGTCTTGCAAATATTAGTAGCCAATATTCTAAGTCTGCCCTTTTATTACTACTTTATGGTTTTTATGTAGATCTTATATATTTGAGTTTATATTTATACCTGATTTACTCATAATTCCATATGGTATCTCATTTCCCCCCCTTTTGCAGTAAATCTTTAAAAGTTTCCTTAATGTGTATCTCTAGGTGGTAAATGTTC